ACACCCTAAACCCTAAACCCTAAACCCAAAACCCTAAGCCCTTTTTCAGAGGGTTTTTTAGGGCCATCCCATTGCTTCTGCAGGCGTGGAGAACGTCACGCCCGTCACTCCGGTCCACCGGGTCCCACGGATGCAGTCCGCCGGAGCTTGGGGCCCTCTTTCTGCTTTAAGGGTTAAGGGTTTAGGGTTTAGGGTTTAGGGTTTAGGGTTTAGGGTTTAGGGTTTAGGGTTTAGGGTCTAGGGTTTAGGGTTTTAGGGTTGAGAGTTGAGGGTTTCGGGTTTAGGGTGCAAGATACCATGCTGCAGTTGGAAGGTCGGAACGCTTACCAGAACTAGCTTTTAATCACTTTGGTGCCCATCTAGTGGCGGGCGCCACAATAGGTAAGTGCAGGGCTTGCAGATAAAATGTTCTTAACTGTTTAACTGCTACCATCACGCGGAAAATCTGAACATTAAGACCTGGTGGTTCCCAACACCCACCGGAGCGTCGAAGGACGTCAAGACATGGGCAGTTCTGAAACTTGGAGGTCCCTTTTCGAGTGTCGACCGAATCTAAAGTACAGCCGTGCAGCATGCGGGGTGAGGGGTTCCACCAAAATTGGGTACCCTCTCGGAAGGGGTTGCTAGAACAAGGGTGATTCTCTTGGGGTGGGGGGGGAGGAGGAATACGTAGCAAATTATGAAAACCGAAACCCCAAACCCTAAACCCCAAACCCTTAACCCCAAACCCTAAACCCTAAACCCCAAACCCTAAACCCCCGAACCTTAAACCCTAAACCTTCAACCCTAAACCCTATAAACTCTGATGGAAGTTGTAGAGGCTTATCGGACCAACGCGACGCTGGTCCAGGCTGGGTCGGGGGGGTCAACGGTCGGAACGCAAGACTTTGCGGGTCTAGGGCTTAGGGTTTAGGGTTAAGGGCTTAGGGTTTAGGGTTTAGGGCTTTGTAGGGTTAGGGCGTTTTGTTGGGGCTTTCAGACCTGTTTAGGGCTTTTGCAGGCCTTTTTTGGGGGCTGTTTGGGGCTGTTTACGGCTTAGGATTGTTTCCGAACCCTAAGCCCTATAAACCCTACTCCATAAACCCAGGAGGGAACTTAGATTTCGAACCCCGAAAATGCCGAAAGGGACCACGGTTTGGAGAACTGATTGCAGCTCTCAGGCCCAAACCCCAAACCGCGAATTCCCAATCCTAAACCCTAAACTCTGAGACCTTAACCCTGAACCCTAACCCTAAACCCTAAACCCTGAACCCTGAACTCTGAACCTTGAGCTCCGAAACCCTCAAAAGGGAGTCCCAACAAAACCTGGCCGCGTGCACAGGAGAAGGGGGGCAGTTACCTCGGCACCGTGCCCGGGACCTACGACGACAACCCTGTGCAGGCGGGCGCTCCTCAGGGATTTTGGGCTTTAGGGTCAGGGTGTAGGGTTTTAGGCTTAGGTAGGGTGTTGGAGTTCATGGCTTCGAGGTGTAAGCATTGGAAGTTACAGAGCTTTAGCAGTTTAGGGACTAAAGTGGTCAGGGCTTTAGGGTTTCTGGAAGGTTGAGGGCTCCAGGACTTTGGTTGATATAGGTCCTTAGTCAGTGGTTTAGGGCTCAGGGCTTGGAGGTCAGGGCTTTATTGGCTTTCGGGTTTGGGGGTTTAGGGGGCTTGAGGGCTTCTGACACAAGCGTCATTTACGAAGTCCGCAAGAAGATGCTAGACTGCTAGACCAGCCTTCTAGCCCAAAGCCGCAATTCCATTTTAACAACATCTGACAGCCTCACCCACGCCGACATATGCTGCAGGTGGTGGCCCAGTCAAAGGCAGATGAAGACAAGCCTACCCACCGCACTACTTCTGGGAAGGGAGGGGTTGCGGGGGCTACTTGCAAGAACTCCAACCACCTCCTCCCTTAACCGGAACCCTAAACCACCTAAGCCCCGAAAGCCTTCAGGGCTTAGGGAGCCCGCTGGAACCAAACATCCTATGCGGGAAGTTGCATTGCAGGGGCCAGTTTGGGGGCTGGTTTTGCTGACTTCGGATTTCTGGAGCTAAACCCTAAACTTAAACCCTAAACCCTTTACTAAGCCCTAAACCCCGAACCCTGAACCCTGAACCCTGAACCCTGAACCCTAAACCCTAACCCTAAACCCTCAACCCTTAACCCCAAACCCTGAACCCCAAACCCTTTTTCGGCCCAGTACGACTCAGGGCCGGGCTCAGAATTTTCATGGACTTCCGTACTGAGGCGAAAGCTTCCGGGGGGTAGGTTTTCATGTTCATTACCCTTATATCATCTCCTGGATAATCCTTATAAAGCCATAAAGATTTTATTATTGGCCCCTCCCCCAAACCTACCCCAGCTTGACTTTCGCTGGGCACTTCGACATAATGCTATTATACCGCCGCAAGTAGCGGGTTTAGGGTTTTAGGGTTTAGGATTTAGGGTTTAGGCCCGCCGCACGGAACTCGACATCTCAAGATGGCAGCCTGTCCCACCCTAAACCCTAAACCCTAAACCCCATACCCTAAACCCCCCATGGCTGCGAGAATGAGCTTCGCCAACAACCGCCAGCCCGACCCCTCATAAGTCCTTGTGCGGCACGCTAAGGCCCACCTTTGCTTGACGTCCCGAGCCCGAACCCCCAGGTTTAGGGTTTAGGGTTTAGGGTTTAGGGTTTTTGGATTCTTGCTGGCCCTTGCCTCCCTCTTGCTCAGTGAAAAGGATTAGGGTTTAGGGTTCATTTGCCCTAATAGGGATTATAGTAGGATAGGGCTTATTACCACATCCGAGTTTCTTATGCCAAGGTGCCTGGTTCTTGAATACAGGGACGTGCACACAGCCGCTTGAATCCGCAGGGGGGATTGAGCTATTTTTGTGGGCTCGGTTTGCTCAACTCTAACCCGATACCCTACGCTCTATACCCTACAAACCTAAACTCGAAACCCTAGACCCTAAACCCTAAGCCCCAAACCCTAAAGTCCAAACCCTAAACCCTATACCCTAAAACCTAAACCCTACACGATCATCGGGACTACCACCACAGAAGCTCCTAGAAGGCCATGGGTTCGTGTTTAGAAGCCAAGAACTACGCCTCCGCCAGCTTCCTCAACATTCCCCAAAGGTCCATGTGGGGGTTTTCGAAATTTGGGTTTAGGGTTTGGGGTTTAGGGTTTAGGGTTTCGGGGTGGGCTCGAATCGAGAGCCCGGGCTTTGGTTGATATGCGCACGTGCAGGACTTTAGGGTTTAGGGGAGCACGTGCGCGTTGGCTTTTGGGCTTGGACCCTGAAGTCCAACCTGACGTGGGGTTTGGAGTTAGGGTTTAGGGTCTAGGATTAAAAGTTATAGGGTCTGAAAAACGGGAAAGAGGCAGCTGAGCCCCGCAAAGCAATTAGGTCCATTTTGGCCAGTATTAATTTTCCACCTATCATCACTGTATTATGATAAAATACTAGAACCTACCCCCGCAAAACCCCCCTTCGAATTGAAAAGGGCCCTGTTTTACAGCCTTAGCTATCTATGCCCTAATTCCTTCCGGAATATCTTGGAAACATGCTGAGGAACCTTCAGGCCCTAAACCCTAAACCCTAAACCCTAGCCCTAAACCCTAAACCCTAGACCCTAGACCCTAAACCCTAAACCCTAAACCCTAAACCCTAAACCCTAAACCCCTAACCCCTAACCCCTAACCCCTAAACCCAAAGTAAGGTCAGAATCACCTTCGACTCCACTCGGGGCTTTGCAGCACGGACCACACAGTCGCCCAGCAGAGATGTGAGTTGCGCGTTTAGGATTTAGGGTTTAGGGTTTGGGTTTCTGCTCTGATTTGTTCAGGGGGTTCGGCCTAATTTTGCCTTTGTGAGAGGGCCAGAACATTGGTTCTCAGGGGCTGCAGTGATGGCTTGAGGGCTTAGCGTCTTGATTGGGGCTTTGGGCTTTCGAGGGTTTAGGCTTATGGCTTCACCATGTAACCGTGACCCGGCAGCAAATAAAACGGATATTTCTGACTTCGTTCTGAAGCCCTCTATAGAAGCCTCTGGTAAAATCAGGTGGCTTGGAACCGGCTTTGTTTGTACGCACAAATGGGCCCCTCACAAGCCCTCCTCCCTCCTCCCTCCACCCCTCCTTCCCCCCGTCCTCCTCCCCGCAGCATTTCGCCGACTATCTGGGAGTTTACGAAAATGAGGGACCTTTAAATGGACCTCCAAATAGTAGGATTCCCTTCTAGTGAAACCCCCAAGCTGTGGTCCCTAAATGGCCTTAATTCTGGGGAAAACCTTTCGGGGGGAAGTATAGAGGAGTAGTAGGGGAACCCATGACAAAAAGCAGGTTCTGCCTCCTCAATGCCCTGCGCTGCAAGGCAGGTGCGTTGGGCTGGCGGCATAAGTACCCTATATAATCCCTAAAGGGTATATATATATATATATGTATGTAGGGCCCTCACTCCCTCATTCAGTACCCTACCATAATCCCTTAAAGGGTATATATAGGGCCCTCATGTTTCCCTCATTCCCTACTAAGAACCAGCCAGGAGTTTAAGGCTTCAGAGCGAGGGTGTATGGAGCTTAGGAGAGAGTTTTAGGGTTTAGGGTTTAGGGTTTAGGGTTTAGGGTTTAGGGTTACAGGGTGGGGCCCCCTTACTATACTAACTGTAGTTAAGGGACTTATAACCTAACTTAGGGTCCTTATAACCCAATTTAGGGCCCTTATAACTCTACTTATAACTAGGGGGGGCCCACCCTGTAGGGCGCAAGGTACTTGGGAGAGGCTGCATAAGATTAGGGGTTCTGTTCCTTGCACCAAGGTGCCAAAGCAATCAATCACCCGAAACCCTAAACCCTAAACCCTAAACTCTAAACCCTAAACCCTAAACCCTAAACCCCCAGGTTCTATGGGCTCATTCGTCGGGTTAGGACGGGTTTGGGTTAAGGGTGTTCCGGTCTTGATTTAGGCACCGTACATCCCCCTATATAACCTTCTATAAGGATCGCATAAGGGCACCTAAGTTCCTTTACTCCTTACTCAGATCTACCAAGTTTTGTTTTTGGGTTTCGGGGCCGGAGGGTCCTTTCCTGCAGATGAACCTAAACCCTAAACCCTAAACCCTGAAAGAGGTGCAGCCAGATGAGCCTTCTTCGTGGCACGTGAAGGACCCCGCGAAGAGTGGCATGCTCCCTGTGCTCGAGGAGCAGGTTGGTTGGGGAAAAGACTCGAAAGCCCCAACGCCTCAACCCTGAACCCCCTAAACCCGAAAACCTTATAACCCCTATGAACCCCACAAACCCCATACACCCTGTACACCCTTTGAACCTGTAAACCCTATACACTCTAGAATCCTAAAGCCCTACAAACCCCCAAAACCCAAAACCCTACTAACCCTAACCCCAAAACGGATAAGCCCTTCATCACGATTTCTACGATGCCCTGGGGTTCCCTTCTTCCCTTTTAGAATTTAGGGTGTCGAGTTCCTTCTCTTGGTAGCCCGGTAGTACCCTTTTCCCTTTTGGTTGGGTTCAAGGGTCCCTTCTAAAGTCACCAATCCACAAAAAGGGTGATCCTAAACCCTGAACCCTGAACCCTGAGCCCCGTGCCCTGGGACCCTCATCATAGTCGGGCTACCAAGTTCTTAAAGCCCTTTGCAAGCCCCAACAGTGCAATTTTGAGGCCTCAGCAAGCTCCAAACCCCAAATTCTGAAGCCGGAGCCCAGTGGGTGGTTTAGGGTTTAGGGTTCAGGGTTTGGCGTTTAGGGTTTTGGGGGTTTAGTGTCAATCGGTTGATCCACTGAACCCTGATTGCGTTTTGGCACCTTCGCGTGGGAGGCGCCCGGGAAGGCAGAAGCTGGCAAAGCCTTCAACGTCTCTGTGCCAAGGGCCAGGTGAGGGCTGCGGGGTTTCTGCTTTGGTAGTCTATTTTGTTTGCAAACTTTGGGCTTCCGGTTGAACTGGAATTCGCTATCAGTAGAAACGTCATGCTTCTTCACTTCTTAAGTGGGTTGGGCCCGAGAGGGCGTCTCGCCTTGCAACACTCCAGGCAGGGGCGCTGGGTATCCATATTGGGTTGGGTCTCCAGGTGGGATGTAGGGGGATTCGGATTTGTAGGCGGCATAGGGCTCATGCCCTGAAACCTTAGCCCCTAAAACCCTTCATAGCGGCCTGGGCTACAGGGTGGTGGACTTTGGCGGGACGAAGGGCAAGGGCCTGGGCGCTCAGGGCTTAGGGGGTTCAGAGTTCAAAGGCTGTGTCAAGGTGGGATATCGCTTGCAAGTTCGATCCCCACACTATGTAGCTGCTCTAGCTCAGACCAGTTGGTTTCATCCTGCATGTGCAAGTTCACTTCAAACAAATGATGGAGGGGATTACTAACCCTAAACCCTACACGCACCCGTACGCATTCTATACCCAGACCTTAACCAAAGCCGTTCACAGCTGCCCTGAAAGCCAGACGTCCTCAGCCCTTAGAATCCTTGGGCCCTTAAGGAAGGGGGGGCTCATGGGGGCTAGGTGCCTAGGGTTAGGGAGCCTCAGGGAATACTCGGGGAGTATTAGGGGACCTTGTGTTGCACACCCCCCTTGAACACCCTAAACCCGAATCCCCTTGAGCCCCGCTTTCTTAAGGACCCTATAAAGTCGCAAACCCCTTGGAAAGGTTTGAGCACGCCGCTGGCGTCACCTTCACTGCCTCCCTGGTCGATGGCAAAGGGCTCGGTCGGTCAGGCTTTCGGGTTTAGGGTTTAGGGTCAGGGTTTAGGGTTTAGGGTTTAGGGTTTAGGGTTTAGGGTTTAGGGTTTAGGGTTTAGGGTTTAGGGTTTAAGGTATAGGGTTTAGGGTTTAGGGTTTGGGCGCTTCGGGGTTTAGGGTTTAGGGTGCTACGAACGGTAACCCTGTATGATTAGAAGTTCTGAACTGTAGGATGCTTCAGGTTCAGGGCTTGGGGGCTTAGGGGCCAGGACGGGCTATTATACCCTATGACCCCTTAAAAAAGGCTCTTTTTGGGTTGATTATGGGAATTATAGGCCCAAATAGCCCGTCCTGGGGTGTGTTGGGGTTGGGGCTGGCGGGGGCTGCCCTTCGACGCATAAGCAGACCCAGAAGAAATCCCATCAGGGAGCCGCTTGTTGTTTCGCGCAACGTGTTCCTGGTTTTGAGTTGCGGGGGTTTTGGGGCTCTTTGTGGTGCTTTACTGTAACTTTAGATCCTTAGCCTTTTGGGGTTTATTGGGTTTCCTAGTAAGGCAGCTCAAAGTGTAATTTATAGCTACCCTCCTAAGTGCAGCCAAGGAGTGTTTGGCTTTTGAGCTTCCGGCTCCCTCCTTTTCTGTTACATTTGGGTTTTGGGTTTAGGGTTTAGGGTTTAGGGTGGAATTCGCATCGGCAGTTGAGAGGGAGCTGGGCTGGCTGTGTACCGGAGCCCAATGAACCACCAAGATCACCCCCCCCCCCCCCCCCCCCCCGCCTTTCGTTTTAATCCCTGTATACCCTAAAGCCCCAAGCCCCGAACCCTAAACCCCAAGCCCTAAGCCCTAAACCATAAACCCCAAACCCTAAACCCTAAACCCTAAACCCTGAACCGCGCTTTTTTAGAGGGCCGTGTATGCAGACATGAGAAGCAACAGAAGCCCCCAAGCCTTGCCACCACTTACAGCGGCGGCTGCCGCGTAGAGGAACGAACTTTATTTGCTTGCAATGAAGCACACTTCGGGTTTAGGGTTTAGGGTTTAGGGTTTGGGGTTTAGGGTTTAGAGTTTAGGGTAAACCCTCTGGCGCTTCCCTGCCTCCCTCCCATCTACCACCGAGGCCGGCCACTCCCAAGCTGGCTGCACTTCGACGCAGCTACGCTGAGTCTGGCCGGTACCCCACCAAAGGCTGGAGGTTTTAGGGTATAGGGTTTGGGGTAGGGGGTTTTGAGGTTTTTAGGGGCTTTTGGGTTTAGGGGCTTCAAGTCTTCGGGGCGTTAGCTAATAGGGTTTAGGGGCTTGTGGGGCTTTAGGGCTTTAGGGGTTTTAGGGCCTGTCGGGTGTGGGGTTTAAGGGCTTTAGGGGGTTTGGGCTTTGGGAAGTGGAGGGTCTAGAGTGTACCACGTAGTAGGTCGCAAGGGTTGCAGCGGTTTTGGGGGAGTTTGGACAGCCACACAGGAAGCTTCCCTTAATTCCCCGCCGCCCCCCCTCCCCCCTCCTCCTCCTTGCCTGAGCCGCCAGGCATTTCGAGGCAACATCAACGTCAAGGTCTACCGGCTGCGGTTCAGGGTTCATGGGGTTTAAAGGCCTAGTAGCTGAATGAGTACACTTTTGCAATTTTGGGGGTACTATAACCCTTTATAGAACTGAAGGTGTACACTTTTTTGGGGCTTATGAACTCAGCAACTAAGTATGGTTTATCGGGTTTTTAGCGCTTTTAGGGCTTAAAGAGTTTCTAGGGCACTTCAGGTTACCGGACAGTTGGGACCTGTAAACAGGAACGAATTTTCGCCGAGAATCGCGGTTTCATGGCTCGGGTGCCACTGTGATGGGATCCTGAATGCGTTGAGCAGACTGATTACAACCTGTTAGGGTTTAGGGTTTAGGGTTCAGGGTTCAGGGTTCAGGGTTTAGGGTTTAGGGTGTAGGGTTTAGGGTTTAGGGTTTAGGGTTGCGCTCCACGCGCTCCACGCTCTTCAGACTCTACACACCCTAGCCAAGAGCCTGGGTAGGCCCGTGGGATATGCTTCTATTTACCCCTTATCTACAGGGTGGGGCCCCCTTACTATACTAACTGTAGTTAAGGGACTTATAACCTAACTTGGGGTCCTTATAACCCAATTTAGGGCCCTTATAACTCTACTTATAACTAGGGGGGCCCACCCTGTAGGACTCTGAGAGGGCCCCTGTTGCATGTTCTTTCCCCGGGCTTAGGTTCATTTAGAAACCCCGTTTGAACCAAGAAGGGCGCCCTGGTTGCTCCTAGGTTACTCTTAACCCTAAACCCTAAACCCTAAACCCTAAACCCTAAACCCTAAACCCTAAACCCTAAACCCTGAGGGGGGTTCGTGTGGGGAGGGAACCTTGGGAGCCTTCGGGAGTAGTGGGAAGTATTGGGGAGCCTTGGGCTACCCCCTCTTGAACCCCCCGTCCCTCAAGAACCCCATAAGCATCTATGAGTTTATCCCGACAGTTGAAAGGGGCATGGCCCACCTAGGAATCGATGTAGCACCCTTCCTCAATAAACCCTAAAACCCTAAATGCCTAAACCTTAAGTCCCTAACAACCTAAATCCCGAACACCCGTCCCCAAAACTCTTAAATCTTAAATCCCGAAACCCTAAAAACCCTGAAAACCTAAAAACCTAAGAACCTTAAAGCGCTAGAACCAGAAAACCCCAAAACCCTAAAACCCTAAAACCCTAACACCCAAGACCCCAAAACCCTAAAACCCTAAAACACTGAAACCCCAGAAACCTAAACCCTAAAACCCTACAACCCTAAATTCCAAACACCCTAAACCCTAAAACCCTAAACCCTAAACAGCCTTCCACAGGTTTCGGCCGAGGATGTCGTGGGCGTTAAGACGGACATGATCCTTCCAGTCGAGGTCTCTAGGGCTCAGGATTTAGGACTTGGGGTTTAGGGTTTGGGGTTTAGGGTTTAGGGTTTAGTGTTTAGGATGCATCCCTGCACCCCTCCTTAAACCCTAAAACCCCAAACCAATAATTTCAAGGAGCTGCAGTGCGGATGCACCCCCTGAAGGAAGGGGGGTTTAGGGTTTCGGGTTTAGGCTTCAGGGTATAGGGTTTGAAGTTTGGAGGATAAGTTCTCGAGGTGTATGTTTTAAGTCTCCGGCTATACGCTTTGGGTTCCCTACTCTACTGTACTTGGGGTTTCCCCCGACACCTTCAACCCGAAACCCCTAAGTCCCTAAGCCTCTACACCCCGAAGCCCCTAAACCCCTAAACCCCTAAACCCTAAACCCTAAACCCTGAATCCTACAGTTCCCTCTAGCTTAGCCTTGCCTTGGGCGTCGTGTCGAACCTGACGAGGCTTTCTCCCAAAGACTCCAATATCCCTGATAATTAAGGAATATGCCGTAAATTATAGTAGGATCCCTAGTGCGATTTAAGGTATATGCCTTAATTTAGGGATATTGGAGTCTCTGGGCTGGTAGATGCTATTCCAGCGAGGGTGGATCCCTGATTGTGTGGCTTTCCGAAAACTCGAAGATCCCAAACCCTCGATTTTCTGGAGTCTTGGGGCTTGTAAGGTGCCTTTGTTTTTTTTTTTTTTTTTTTGGGGGGGGGGGGGGGGGGGGGAGGGTTTAGGGTTGGTGGGTTTAGGGTTTAGGGTTTAGGGTTTAGGGTTTAGGGTTTAGGGTTTAGGGTTTTAGGGTTTTAGGGTTTACGGTTTTAGCGTTTTAGGGGTTAGCGTTTAGGGTGGGTACCCCGGGCACCCTAAACCCTAAATCCTGTTTTCTGGGAGGTCGGTGGGGGCCCTTTCGTGGCGCTCCCGCTGCAGCCGCAGCATCTGCTTGCTGGAAGGCGGACTTCTTGGTAGCGCAGTGGTACCCTTTTCCCTTTTTTTGGTCCAGGGCTCCCTTATCAAGTAAGCAGCCCAAAAAAAGGTGCCCTTGTTATAATATGCTTGCTGGGCTGCCAAGACTTAGGGTTCAAGGGTTAGGGTTCAGATTTTGGGGCTAGGGTTTAGGGTTTAGGGTTTAGTGTTTCGGGTTTGAATGAGTTGTCGAAACGAGGGGTCTTCATCGTGCAGAGGGACAGCTTGTGTATTCATTCAGAGTTGACTTCATATGTAGCCGCGCTTGGACAAGCACTTCTTGGGGTGCCCGAGGGTCATATGTATATGTGTATATATATATATATGTATGTATATGTACACATGTATATACATATATATTCATATATATATATATATATACATATTATTTTCAGGTACCAGCGGAACCATCATTTAGAGGGCACTGATCCTTTGAACAGAAGGTTTGCACACTCTCTTTCCGCCCTAGGAAGGCTGGCAAGTCCTAAGCTTCCGCGCAGGCCATTTACTTTCACCCTGCCGGAGGCGTGAGCCGTGGGAGTGGAGAGGGGGCGCGTTGTTGTTTTGAAACCTAAACCCTAAACTCTAAACCCTAAACAAAAAAACCCTAATGGTAGCCATGGCCCTAAACTCAAACCATGTACCCTGCTTGGCCCTAAAAGGAGGGGGGTTGAAGCACTTTCTTGGGATAACATCCGCACGATGGAGGGTTTGTAGGACAGTCATGGGCAACAGTCAGGGGTCGGGCGGAAAGAAAGTTGCCGGGCAGGCTTCTAGCAAAGGGCCACTTTGCCAGGACAGGCAACTCCTTCTTGGACCAGATTCGTTGACAGGGGTGCCTTCACATACATGCTTGTCAATGCATATGCTATTTTTATGTACACAGACATACAAATTACTACTACGTTCTACTTTATACTATATGCTTTGTATACGATATATTATATATTTATATACTTCGTATAGTATTCGAAGAAGAAACTATTCTGTACATATGTATATATATATATATATGCACTATATATATATAACATATATACATATATACAAACTGTATATATATATATACATACACATATAAACTGTATATAGCCATATCAGCCCATCCTAAAGCACACCCCTCCCAGGGCAGCTTCTGGGACCCCGGCGACGGAAGCTCCCTGAGCCTCCACACCTCCAGGCCTGCGTCTAACATGAGCTCTTGGAACTTTAGGATTTAGGAAGCTTAGGGTTTAGGGTTTAGGGTTTAGGGTTTAGGGTTTAGGGTTTAGGGTTTAGGGTTTAGGGTTTAGGGTTTAGGGTTTAGGCGTCAACCCCAAACTTCAGGCTTTAGGGGCTTCAGGGTCTGGTATTTTGTTAGGGCTGCGGGGTTGTGTCGGATTTAGGGTTGATAGGTTCTGGAGCTTATGGGCTGAGGATTTAGGGTTGTGCTGGTTTGGGCGAGTTGTTCGACTCTTTTTCACATCAGAGACTTTCTCACTGGGCTGCGGATGCAGTAAGGGGGGCGAATCTCAAAAACCAGCCTCCAAAGTCGGTTTGGGAATTTAGGGGGTTTAGGGTTGAGTGCCATATATGCCTAGAGAGATGTATTTATATACTCATCTTTATAGACGGCCTAGGTAAGGCCTGAGTTGCCACAGTGTCACGACAGTCGGCAAACCCTAAAGCCTAAACCCTAAACACGAAACCCTCTAACCCAAGACCCTGCTCTCCACGAGGCTGCCAGCGTGGCTTCATTTTGATGCCGCTGCTCGGCGTAGGACACGGGCGAGACGTGATGTCTCTTTGGGAGTTTACGAAAATAAGGTTTAGGGTTTCGGGTTTAGGGTTTAGGGTTTCGGGTTTGATGTTTAGGGTTTAGGGTTTAGGGGACCCGTAATATACACCCCCAAATCGTAGGGTTCCTCTGATACAAAGGACCTTAATAAGGTGCCCCTAATTGCGGAAACCCCCCATGTGGGCTTCGGGTTTTGGAGTTTTGGGTTTGGGGATTCTTGTTTAACGTTCAGGGTTTTTGGGACTTTCCGTGTAGGTAGTGAGATTCTGGGCCTTGCATGTAGCCCTGGGTAGAGCCGGCCATTGAACTCAATGGAAGATTGGGTCAGCATCTTGCTCTATGCACTTAACCTTTAAGGTATCTTTCTCCGACTGTCAAGGGTCAAGCCAAGACCCTTGGACCGAGGCACATCGTCGCTTTTCGGGCGTGCCGCCCACGGACGGTGTGGTCGAGGTCATCGGCCGGGCATGTGTGAGGTTTGGGGTTCTGGGGCTTAGGGTCCCGAGCCGTTGACATCTGCTAGCCTTAATGCCCTAACCCTAACGTGCCTAACGTGAGCCATCGTATCGGTTTAAACCTTAAACCCTAAACCCTAAACCCTAAACCCTAAACCCTAAACCCTAAACCCTAAACCCTAAACCCTAAACCCTAAACCCTTGGGGGTTTAGGTTTTGGAGTGTGAGGGGCTCTACATCGGCAACTCTCTGAAGGTCATGATCCCTTTCGGGGTACCTTTAACATACAAGGAGGGCCCCCTTACTATACTAACTGCAGTTAACCTATTTTCGGGTATTTATAACCCAATTTAGGGCCCTCATAACCCAATTTAGGGTAGATAAGGAACTTATAACCTAGTTTAGGATCCTTCTAGCTCAAGTTAGGGTCCTTATGACTCTACTTATAGCTAGGGGGGCCCCCTCCTTTTAGGGCTCCACATTGCAACAGGAACCTTATACCTGCAGTTTAAAGTCTAATGGGTTATACCTAACTACTTTGGGTAGCTACCTCTAAACTGTAGGTGAAGAGAGTCCCAGGTAGGGTTGCATTAGGGCATCTGGTTTTGGGGGAGCCCGAAGGCTCCAAGAGAATGGATGCGTCCTGGAAGAACCTTCGGCTGGTTCGGCTGGTTCGGGGGTTGGTTTGCGGGGGTTTTGAGGACTTCATCGTTTCTTTGTTGCGCCTAGAGAAGGTCGGCCGAATTCGTCGGCCGGAAGGCCGAAGTACGATTGGCCCTGGGGATGTTTTTTATTTTTGTTATTGCGTTTAAGAGGATAATCTTCAGGATGTTTTTCGTGTTTTCAGGGCCATCCTAAGTACTCTTCAGAAAGCTTTGAGGTTCTTGAGGCCTTCGAAGGCTGTAGACATCAAGACGCTCTCCCAGCCAGGTGAACGTCACAGCCACCGACTCGCAGCAGCTCTCTGTGACTTAGTAGCCCAGTGGTACCCTTTTCCTTTTTTTTTTTGGTTAAGGTTCCCTTATACGTAACTAAACCCCAAAAAGGGTGCCCTTATTAAAATGTGGTCACTGGGCTACCAAGGTAACACAGAATGTGGTGCTGGTCTTGCTGAAGCCGCGCAGCTTGGTGGCGCTTTGCGGATGCCTCGGGGCTTTCACAATTTATGGGTTTTGAGGGGCTGGCGTAGGCGAAGGCTTTTAGGGGTTCAGGATTTACGGTTTCAGGGTTCAGGGGCTGAAGAGTTTAGGATTTTTGGGTGACTTTGGCCCTCGAATTGCTCGCGCGAAGGTGGCAACCAGCCGCCTTTCATTGCTCACCACATCCAGAACACCCATGTCCAGATGGGCGAGGCAGCCGGGAAGACGAAAACACCCTACTACTGTAGGGTGTAGGGTTTAGGGTTTAGGGTTTAGGGTTTAGGGCTTCGCATGCCCTTTGTCAGGTAGTTGTATTCCTGGTTCTTGTATTCGATGCATATCTGCACATGCCTGCGTATGGCATCCTTCTAAACAAGCATGAACGACTGATGGGTTCAGGGTTTAGGGTTTAGGGTTTAGGGTTTAGGGTTTAGGGTTTAGGGTTTAGGGTTTAGGGTTTAGGGTTTCGGGTTTCGGGTTTCGGGTTTAGCGTTTGGGTTCAGGGTTTAGGGTTTAAGGTTATAAACCTTCTACAGGGTTCATGTCGATTTCCAGGCAGGCCATTATCTGGCCAGAGCTTAGTGCTCTCGGTTTCCTGGCTTTGCTGCAAACTACACTTCCCTGAGTCTAAACCATTCAGTCTAAATCCTCAACCCTAAACCCGAAGCCCGAAACTCTGAACCCTAAACCCCAAATGGCCCCAATGTGACAGTTCAGAGTATAGCTTCCGGGTTCCATGGGAGCTTGCAGTACGGCAGTTCCCAAGAGCACATACTGTTAGGTTAGGGTTTCGTTTGGGGTTTGGGGTTTGTGGTTTGTGGGCTTAAAGAGGGGCACCGGTCAAAAGCAGATGGAACCATCTAGACCTGACCGAGTATGAACTCTGCTGTTAGGTCGTGAATGGGCCAATTCAAACCCTAAACCCTAAACCCTAAACACGCTGAACCCCAAACCCTAAACCCTGGTTCTGGGAACCTAAACCCCTAAACCCCAGACGAAGCCCCTAGCGGCTGCGGCTGAATCTGCTTTTTGTAAAGTCAGGGTCCCCAAGAGCACTACTCACAAGGTCCTGGATATGGGGCTGTGGGCTTCAAGGATTGTAAGGCTTTAGTGATTTCGGGTATAGGGCCTTGGGTTGTTTAGGTATGCTGGTGCAGGCTGTGCACTTCATTATACCGCCGAGTTCGTTCAAGGACCTTGCCTCTTGGACGTTCTTGGGGCATCCTCTACCCCATTTGAAAACATCAACCCTAAACCACAAAACCCTGTTTCGGGTTTAGGGCTTAGGGGTCTAAACCCCAAATCCCAAACCCTAAGCCCCAAACTCGATGCTGTTGTCAAGGCCTCATCTCTTCGACATTCACGGTACTTCTACCCAATCACAGCTGTGTTTTTTTACCCACTCTGAGTCTCTGGCAGTAGGTCATCGTCATCGGTAGCTACGGTATACCTGGGGTATGAAGTACGCTGAGAATCCAAGTGGTATCGGCTCCCCTCTGAGGAAGGGGGCATTCACTAGCTTGAATCACAGGTGGGTGAAAGTCTGCGATGGTGGTCAATGTAGACGTGAGAGGCAAAATTCGCGAGCGGTGCTTGTTAATTCCCAGCAGCCGGAACCCCGAAACCTAAACCCTGAACCGTAAACCCTCTACTCCCTAAACGGAAGTTTACGAAAATAAGGGACCCTTACACTAGACCTCCAAATAGTAGGATTCCCATAGAATACGGACCCAACAAGGTACCCCTAAGTTTCGGAAATCCCCAAACTTTCTAGGCATGACAACAAGGCAGGATAGTTCCCCATCTGAAGCCTGGCGTATATTTGATCCCCCCAGGGTTTAGGGCTTAGGGTTTAGGGCTAAGGGTTTAGGATTTAGGGTTCAGGGTTTAGGGTTTAGGGTTTAGGGTTTAGGCTTTCGGGTGTAGTTTGATCCCACCAGACCCCAAAGCTCAAACACCACACCCTCCCAACCCCTAAACTCCACACTCGAAACTGCTGAATCCTCAAACTCGACACGCTAAATGCATAACAAACTCTCAGCTGTACTCTAAACGACCCCTCAACCCGAAACTCCACGCTCAAAACCCCCAAAGCCCTATAAGCTCTATAGCGCGAAACCTGAAACTCTAAACCTGAACCCTGAACCCCAAACCCAAAAACCCCAAACACCCTAACCCTAAACCCTAAACCCCAAACCCCAAACCCTAAACCCTAAACCCTAAACCCTAAACCCTAAACCCTAAACAAAATACATCCTTGGAGCGCCAAGGACGGCGATGGCCTGGCGCTCCACGCGGTGCGCAGCGATGGGCGACCGCTCCCTTCCTGGCGCCTGGGCTGTAGGGGGTTTAGGGTTTAGGGTTTAGGGTTTAGGGTTTAGGGTTTAGGGTTTAGGGTTTAGGGTTTAGGTGGTTTAGGGGGTTTAGGGGGTTTAAGGGGATCCCTAGCCCCCTAAACCACGAAACTCTAAGCTCCTTAATGCGCAGCTTAGGGGGGCAGCAGGGGTTTAGGGTTTCGGGAGTCTTGGGTTTAGGGTATTTTCCGTTTAGATGGGTTGCCGATGATGCAAGTTACGTATAAGGGGCTCACATCTCAGTAGTGAGCAGGAATGTTCTTGCCACGCTTGCTTGAGGTCAATGGTGAGCGGAGAGCATATAGCGCAGTGTTGCAGAGTGTATCGGCGTGCGTTGGAGAGCACGAGGCAGTTCTTGCAGCCAAGCAGACTTCACACATGGTGGTTTTTATAAAAGGCATAAACAATTGTATAGCACTTCATCACTTCATCATCTGCTTCGACGTCCTTCAAGAACCTCTTCCGCTCCGGTATCCCTAAACCCTAAACCCTAAACCCATTCCCTAAACCCTAAACCCTAAACCCTAAACCCTAAACCCTAAACCCTAAACCCTAAACCCTAAACCCTAAACCCTAAACCCTAAACCCTAAACCCTAAACCCTAAACCCTAAACCCTGCATGAACTGAATGCGTGCGTGGCATCCTTCCACGGCAGTGGCTTTGCAAGGATCCTCCTACCAGGACGGGCTATTAGGGCCTAGAATTCCCACAAGGGTTTAGGGTTTAGGGTTTATAGGGTTTATAGGGTTTAGGGTTTAGGGTTTAGGACTCCTAGACCCCAGCTGATGTTTGAGGCTTTAGGGATTTAGAGCTTTAGGGTTTAGGGGCTTGGGCTTGGTTTAAAACTGTCAGTTTATAGGGTGTGGCTTAGGGGACCTCAGTTCACATGCCACAACCAAGCCGACTTCTTCCGCCCGAAGGTTGCACTTTGACCCTGCGTCGAGCCTCCTGGCATCAACTTGGGTGCAGGGCTTGCAACATAGGGTCTATGGGTCTATAGGGTCTAGGGTCTAGGCTCTAGGATTTCGGGTATGGGGTTCGGGGTCTAGGGTTTAGGGTTCAGGGTTTAGGCAGAGCAGGATGTTGAGGTTTTAGGATCATTTTTAGTAAACGGTTCAAGGCCAGGAGGCTTCTGGGGTGCTTAGGAAGGTTGAGGGCTTTTAGGGGGTTGGGGGGGGGGGGGGGTTCAAAGCGTAAGGGCTCGCGAGGCAGGAGGCTTACAGGGTGTTTCGGGTCACGTTGCTGGTTGCTTCAGTAGCTGCTGTTTTGATGGTCTTTGATGGTCTTTGTGTGCTCTCTCTCCCTAAGCCGCAAGCCGCCCAAGCCAAGCTATTTCGTGTCAGGTCTGCGTGCTGGGCACTGTACGTTCAGATGACGAGTTAAAGGCCCCCCACTCTTCCCCCCCCCCCCACCCCTTGATGACGAGCCCAGGAGCCTTTTCCGGCCGCCCTGGCAAGGCGGATGCAGGGCTGCTGTCTGTGAGGCCAGACGAGTTAGGGGTTTAGGGAGTTCAGGGTTTAGCCAGATTAACTCCTCAGCAAAAGATCATTCTCAAAATATCCCATTGGTATATTTCCCGAAATATAGGTACCCCTTTTTGTACCCCAAATAGAATAGAATCACCTTAAAGGGACCCCCAAAAAGGGCACCGCTATTTTCGGAAACCCCGATATTTTGTTCGAGGGTTTCAACGTTCCGAGGCCCTACAGCGCTGAAGCCCTATTTCGCGACAGGGGCTCGACGGGGGGTTTTAGGGTTTTGGGCTTTGGGTTTTGGGTTTAGGGTTTAGGGTTCAGCAGCTCATGCACTAGCTTTCACTAGTCAAGCAGATTGTCGAGTGTTGGCAAAATACCCACCCACCCAAGAAACCCATAACATTAAGAAAATATAAAGTTCACTCAATACATTCCCAGGACCCTAAAGCTCTAAACCGTCTAAACCCTATGCACTATAAAGCCAAACCAAACCCTAGGGCTCTAAACCCTATGCCCCAAGTAGGGGCCCCTAAAACCATTTGCCGACCAAGGGCGTCAGGGTTTAGGGCCCACGGGGGGAAAAGACCATTTGCCGACGAAGGGCGTCAGGGTTTAGGGCCCACGGGGGAAAAACCATTTGCCGACGAAGGGCGTCAGGGTTTAGGGCCCAGGGGGGGAAAAGACCATTTGCCGACGAAGGGCGTCAGGGTTTGGGGCGCATGGGAAAAAACCGTTTGCCGACGAAGGGCATCAGGGTATTCCGCCAAAAGGGACCGATTCCAGCCGAGTGTTGAATATCATTTATATGGCAGAAATGACCCTCATTTTTCAGATTCTGGTTCCGGGCCTAGAAAAAAAACACATGCCGACGAAGGGTGTCAGGGTTTAGGGCCCAGAATAAAACCACATGCCGACGAAGGCCAGTAGGGTTTAAATATACCTAGTAAGAGAGGGTTTAGGGTTCAGGGTTTAGGGTTTAGGGTTTAGGATTGAGTCGAGGTCGAAACCCTAAAGACCATAAACTCAGGCCTAAGCCCTCAAGCCCTCTAGCCCTCACGCCCCTTCACCCTAAGTCCTGAACCCTGATCCCTAAAACCTTCACCTAAGCCCTAAACCCTAAACCCTAAACCCTAAACCCTAAACCCTAAACCCCGAACCCCGAACCCCAAACCCCAGACCCCAAACCCCAAACCCTAAACTCAACCTTGGGCCCGCAGTCCGAGTTCGGCCGGAGGCTAAGCGCGCGGGACAGCCGCGGTGCCGAAGTGCAGGCCTGCGTTATCATCATCATCATCATCATCATCATCATCATCATCATCATCATCATCATCATCATCATCATTGTCATTATCATTGTCATTGTCATTGTCATTGTTATTATCATTATCATTGTCAATATCATTGACATTGTCATTGTTATTATCATTAGCATTATCATGAGCATGATTACTATTATTTCTGTCGTTATCATTATTGCTTTTAATCTTGCCATGATTAGTATTATTATGAGTATTATGATTATTGTTGTTGTTTAGTAGCTTTTTTGAGTAGCTTTTTTAGTAGCATTAGGAATATTATTATTACTATTACAAGTACTAGTATTAGTACAATTATTGTTGCTATGTTTAGGGGGTACTTAGCCTCTAGTTGTACTTTAAACTTGTTGGGTGTCCTTATTTAGGGTTCAGGGTTCAGGGCTTAGGGTTTAGGGTTTAGGGTTTAGGGTTTAGGGTTTAGGGTTTAGGGTTTAGGGCTTAACCTTTGTTTCCCTTGGTTGTTGGATGGTTATTGGTTTAGGGTCAACTGCGGGCTTGGTGGGCATGCTTCAGACCTTGCAGGCTTCGGAGTATCGGGATTGCCGGGTTGATTTTGGAGCTTCCGGGAGTTTGTCTTCAGGGTTTCGGGGGTGGGGTTTGGGGCAGAACGTTTTTCAAGTCGTATTACCCACTACTTCCTATACAATTCCCTAAGGTTTCGGGGTTTCAGGGTTCATTCAAAGCGGGGAGAGTGCAGGGTTTAGGATTTACTGCGTAGGGTATAGGAATTCAGGGTTGAGGGTTCTGTTAGGTGGCTTTGTTTGCACTATAGACCCTACGCCTCAAACCCAACTTGCTAATCCCAGAAGCCAGAATCGAAGAGAAGAGTTCCGGTATCCTTATCCTTCCCCTCTTCACAAGCTTCACCAATGGCCGACTGAGAAGTACTCTGATGCTTAAGATGTAGGGTTTGGGTGCATGAAGGAGGACTTCATCCTCAACATCACCGGCGGCAGCCCGCTTGGAAAGGAAGATTTCTTCTAGCCTGTTCAGTAGTATGCGTTGGCTTTCCTTTTGTTATCTTCTGGGTTTATATGTAGGGCTGGGTCCTTATTCGTGTCTGTTTTGGGAACCACTAGTAACTTAACTCTTTAGATCGATCGATGGGGATATGTGTGTATGTGTGTATATATGTACACAGTTTGTGTATGTGTGTGTGTGTAAGTATGTATGTATGTACAAATGTGAAGCATATGTGTGAATTCTGTGTGTGCGCATACAGTAGCATGCCGCCACACACACACACACACACACACACACACACACACACACACGCACAGAAAGTCCGTATAAAGCCCTAAACCCTAAACCCTAAACCCTAAACCCTAGACCCTAAATAGACTTTTCATGTAGCAGCAGCTAAGACGACCATAGTTCTCCAGCCTCGGATCCCTGGGTAACACTGGATTTTTTGTCTCCAACGTAGTGCTTTCAGCTGCTCAAGCATAGAGACCTCAAACCTTTATCCAAACCCTGAAATCCCGAAAACAAAGCAAAAAACCCGAAAGACTAAACCCCGAACCTTAAACCCTAAAACCCTAAAACCCCTAAACCCTAGACCCTAAACCCGAAACCCTAAGCCCTAACACCCTAGACCCTAAAACCCCTAAACCCTAAAACCCCAAACAAAACCCTAAAAGCCTGATCCCCCGCTCCAAGCTTTTGAGACCGATTGGCTGCCCAGGGCATGCGGGCCACAAGAGCCAGCTGCCTACCGTTCCGGCCGGGGGGGGGGGGGGGGGGGGGGGGGGGTTTAGGGTTTCGGGTTTAGGGTTTAGGGTTTAGGGCTTAGGGCTTAGGGCTTAGGGCTTAGGGTTTAGGGTTAGGGTTGAGGGTTGAGGGTTGAGGGTTGAGGGTTGAGGGTTGAGGGTTGAGGGTTGAGGGTTGAGGGTTTGGGGTTGGGATCCTCACACACAAGGACCTCTGTAGGGTCGGGGTTTAGGGTTTAGGGTTAGGTGTAGGGTTTAGGGTTTAGGGTTTAGGGTTTGGGGTTTAGGGTTTAGGAAAGTTTAGGGTTTAGGGTTTAGGAGATGTATCGGCAGTCTCTCCCTAGTCACCCAAACCCAAGTTTCAAGCTTCTTGGCGGGGGAAGACATCCAAAGAACGCACCGGCCGTTTCCACCATAGACGGTAGCCGCAAGCTGCAATTTTCCCCCAATACCTGAAGCCCTCAAATCTTTTCAAGCCCTGAACTTAAAAGGGATTCAGTGGTAACTACCCCTTGGTTGAGAGGCAAAACCCATAAAACTGTAGGTAACTGGGGTTACAGATATGCTTAGATGGAACACCGGAGAGGCGCGCCTTGTCTTCAACCGATCCAGTAACAAGCTGATCAGAGCTCCCTACATATCTGCCTCTGGGCTTAGGGGGTCCTTTTTGGTTTTGAAAGACAGGCTCCCCACAGCATGAAGTTACAGGGTTCTTAAGGGAGGGTGGAGATCAAGGGGTGTATGTGACCCAAGGTTCCCGAATACTCCCGACTACTCCCTCAGGCTCCCTATGCTTCCCGACAATTTCCCTAGGTTTAAGCCCCTCCCTTAAGAACCCTATATTACAACCCTAAACTCCCTAAACCCTAAACAGTAGAACGCAATCCTGAATGCAAAGCCCCGACTGGCGCGCCGGGCAGGTACCTCTCAGGCACTTCGACGACCAGACGCAGGACTCGGCTCATTCAGGGTTGAAAGCCCTCAAGACCTTTTAAAAGCCCGTAAACCCAAGATTCCTAAATCAACACTCTGGAGCACTCCGAGAGCCTTTTAGACTAAACCCTAAACCCTAAACCCTAAACCCTAAACCCTAAACCCTAAACCCTAAACCCTAAACCCTAAACCCTAAACCCTAAACCCTAAACCCTAAACCCTAAACCCTAAACCCTAAACCCTAAACTAAAGCCCAACACAAACAACTAGGGTTTGGGGTCTAGGTACCCATGTTGCTCGCCAGGAAGCTGCGATTGGCTCGAGGTTCACTTTCCAGGCCTGGGTGGGGTCTTCGGATTTTGAAAGATGTTTGGCGAACTCTCGGATCCCCGGCCCGATAAGGCTCAACTTATAACTGATTGGGCGAGGTGCTAGTAACGTTTTCCGCAGGGCGCAAGTACACCACCTTCTCCCACCTAATAGAACTGACCGGAGCCAGAAACACATCTTCTGACTTGTCCCCAGTCCAGCCAGAAAATCAATAAAAGTGCTCTTGATCTGCATTGGGAAACAATCAGCCCACTATACTTCAAAGACCCGAAAAGTCTCGTTTGTAGACCTCAACTCAAGAGCCCGAAGGCTCAAAACCCCAACCCTACACCCTTTGCGGTTTAGGCCTCATCTAGGGTTGGAACCATGGGCTCTTATGGTATGTAGTGTATGTAAGGTTTATATAACAAGGGGCCCAAATTAAGAACCCATACTTCGGATCCCCTAGTCTAGGGGTTGGGGTGCTTAGGGGTGAAAGGTTGATCTCTCGAGCTTCAACGCTTTGGGGTCTCATGCCAAGACGACTTCTAGCGAAGGCCCTAAACACCTCAACCTAAACCCTAAATCCCACAATCCGTAAGCCCTGGAAACCCTACACGCCCCAGAAGCCTGAACCCCAAACCCTATAGTCCCCCAAACCCTAAACCCCTAATCCCCCAAACCCTAAACCCTAATCCCCCAAACCCTAAACCCTAAACCCTAAACCCCAAACCCTAATCCCCCAAACCCTAAACCCTAAACCTTGGAAGCCCAAAACCGCAGCTGTGCAAGGTTCCGGCCCGAAGCTTCGGCCGCCAGGGGGGAGGCCTCCACCTCCGCGCCACCCGCACCCGGTCGCATGATCGGGGGGGGGGGGGGGGGGGGGGGGGGGGGGGGGTTTAGGGTTAGGGTTTAGGGTTTAGGGTTTAGGGTTTAGGGTTTAGGGTTTAGGGTTTAGGGTTTAGGGTTTAGGGTTTAGGGTTTAGGGTTTAGGGTTTAAGATTCGGGGTTGGGGGTTAGGGCTTTCTGTGCAGCGGGGGCATTGTGCAGTCATGTTAAGGGTCTGTGGGTGGAAGGCTTGGGGGTTTCTAGGGCTTAGGGTTTAGGGTTTAGGGTTTAGGGTTTAGGGTTTAGGGTGCAAGGGTCGAGCGTTTTGAGGTTTGCGGGTTTGGGATTTAGCTCCTCTGGGTTGAGGGCTTGAGGTTTCTATGGCTTAGGGTTTAGGGTTTGGGGTTTAGGGTTTAGGATCAGGATTTCAAGTTGTGGACGAGGCCGTGATTGTTCGATTGCTTTTTGAGAACTCTGTCGATGCTTTTTCTTCGAGTCTCAGCGACAATTCCTGTAGCACGAAGCAGATTTAGAAAAGTTCCCCAAACCCTAAACCCTAAACCCTAAACCCTAAACCCTAAACCCTAAACCCTAAACCCTACACCTTAAACCCAAAAAACATGTTAAGCAGGAGAGCAAGAAACGTAGAGTTGAGCAGGTTATGATCTGGCTGCCCGAACTGTGCATGGGATCGTTGCGGGTTCGTGAACCACAAGAAGATGGGTTTAGGGTTTAGGGTTTAGGGTTTAGGGTTTAGGGTTTAGGGTTTAGGGTTTAGGGTTTAGGGTTTAGGTTTTAGGGTTTAGGGTTTAGGGTTTAGGGTTAGGGTTTAGGGTTTAGGGTTCAGGGTTCAGGTTTTAGGAATCAGACTTTTTTGGGTTTAGGTCATCAGGGTTGGGAACCAGTCGCGGGCAGCTTCGTTTACAATTGAGGGGTATAAGGAGGGATTCCTAGAAGGGGCCGTTAATCTTTTGCCCCTATAATATAACCCTTATTATGATTTTTATTCTTTTTTTATTATTATATATACATATGCATATACCTTATAGTCCCGATATACCTAAGTAGACCCTAAATAACCTCCAAAGAACCCCTAAGGTCCCTTATAACGGTCCCTCAGGTGTTCCAGCGCACAAGACTGGACTACGTGAATCATGGGTTCCCTTCCTACCCCCCTTCTAGACTACCCCCCCCCCCCCCGAGGTTCCCCCCGTAACTAGCCTTAATTAGGCTAATTTATCCCCGAAAACGCCTTAACTAGGCTTCATTCTAGGGGGGGGAGGTAGTATAGGGGGGGGGGGGGGGTTTAGTGGGGGAACCCATGAATTGAAATGGCTCACAGGGTGAGCTAGGCTTGATCTTGTTCTTTTGCACATTTCTGCGCCCCGCTTGAGAGATAAAACGCCAGGCCCCTAAAACCCCTGAACCCTAAACCCTAAACCCTAAACCCTGAACCCTAAACCCTAAACCCTAAACCCTAAACCCTAAACCCCAAAACCCAAAAACCCTAAACTATACACCCTAAACTCAAAACTCAGCAGCAGACTTGCCTCGGTAGTTACCTCAGGATCGGATGGGCGACCCCTACCCAAGTGGCTGTGGCGTGGCCGGATTTGTTTGAGGCTTGCAGTTTCGGGTTGAGGGTTTAGGGTTGAGGGTGTAAGGGTTCACAGGGTGCTTGAGGGGTGCCGTCTCGTTGAGGACGCCTAGGGCCCTCTAATCCCCTAAACACTTGATCCCCTAAACCCTAGTCCTTAATCCCTCATCCCTAAACCCTAACCCCAAAACCCTAAACCCTAAACTCTAAACCCTATCCAAATCCTGAGCTCCTAAGTCTCCAGCAGGCCGCAGAAACTTCTGCTTCCCTTTTTGTTCTTGGGGGTACCTTATTGGGGGGGGTCCTGATTCTCATAAGGGAATCACACTATTTGGGGATCTATCTTAAGGGGGTTCCTTACTTATGTCGGAAACCGTCAAATATGTATTTTTTGCGGAGGTTCAGGTCGTTTAGGCTTTACAAGCCAGCCTGACCACCGGCGCATCCGTTGTTCATGGGGCTGCACTCCCGGAGCCTGAGAGCAGAGGGATCAGGATGTGGGGTTTAGGGTTTAGGGTTTAGTCCTTGGGGTTTAGGGTTTGGGGTTTACTATAGGGTTTAGGGCTGAGTGTTATTGCTGAGAGCTCATGTGCGGCACCTGGTCATGG